TTAATACGTAATTAACAATAGAGACCTATGGGGAAAAAAAAAAAACCAGGAGCGGTGACATTTCAGAGACGAGGGAATTTTGGCTGGTCGCTGCTCCCATGGAGGTAAAGGGCAAAACTTCCATTGACTTCCGTGGGAGCAAGAGTGCGCCCTTTAACAGCCAGTGTAGTTATTGTGGTGATCCTCGTTATTTGTTAAGCACCTTGAGCATGCTCAGCTCTGTACAAAACACAGAGGAAAACTCCGCGTCTGCTCTAAGGAGTTTGCAACCAAGAGAGGATGACAGGACAGTTCAAACTGGATGAGTCAGTGTGGTCCAAATCCTGAGCTCCCAATACAGCTAGGATTGGGCCCTCACGGCATAGCAAATCTGCATACAAAGAAAGCCTCTCTACTGTGCTGACTGAATCAGCCACTAGTCCCGCTACCAAATGCATTAACCATATTTACTTCAAGCAACACCGAGCAGCAAGAGCGACCTCTCATGTCTACTCTGCTGATCTCACCATGGCTACAGCAATGCCCCGGGGAATAAAAGCCAGCACACATTCCCTGCGTGTGCATGTCACCGCCACTTGGCATTCTAACGCGGCTGGAGTGCCTTCACTATTTCTAAGTGGAACAGCGATGGATGGAAATACTCCTGTCCTTTCCTAGAAACATCAATGTTTAATGTTAGCAGCCTCACCGGAGTAATTATTTCCTCTTCTGATTTTTCAAATATTATGACCTTGGCAGGTGTGTGTGGGCAGGTGGGTGGATATTATGGAGGCAAATGAACAGCAATGCAAACCCTACTGCATTGGGGTCACGTGGAGGGACTTCTCCAGGGCCCACGGTCACAGATGGTGCAGTTCCCTCCCTTTGGAGTTTTCCCACCCCTTTTTGCTCCACACCACATGGCAGAGCAGAGCAGAACGTGTCCCATAAGGGACAAACAGACGTGCACAAATGGAGTCGCTGACGCACAGGAGAGATCTCGAATGGCTGTAATACTGCTGGCCACAACAGACCGATCGGGCGGTGCAGCAGGACAGAGCTGCCGCAGTGACATCACTTGAGAGTCACTGGAGCAGCCTATGGGACCCAGCAAGCTCATCAGTGGATTCGTTTTGAAAACACCCTGCTCCATTGGGAAGCATTGAGTTCCCTCCAGCTATGCTGATCTCAGTGTCTAATACAAGATGATTTGCTGTATTTCCCTCTGCTACTAGCTGTCTGACATCCCCTGCATGTGCAGCACGCGATCAGCTGCCTGCAGTTCCCTTACCTCTTATGAGAGAGGTTTTCCTAACGGCACAGGAGAGATACTCATCTGCTCGTAATGCCCCGATATTTTTGACCTCTTCTGTCTAGAGCACAGATTGTCATTTACGTCATGATGCTCCAGAGGACAGAGATTAAAACCCACAGGCCAAAGTCATCAGCCAGATGACAGCACACGCTCTCAGTTAGCACAGTGCTCTCTGCCCAGTAAGAGTCAGAGGAAAACAGAAGGCAAAAGAAGGGCTCATTATCGGTCACTCCTTGTGTGCCAATGTTTTCTGCCATGGTTTACAGGCACGTACCTACCAGTGTCTTCAATGGCAGGGCTGTGTGTGTTCTGGGGCGTGCAGCTTGGCTCTGTGTCAAATAACTAATTCAAATAGCCTGGCTTTTGGGGGAACTACTTACTGGATCTAAAAGAAGTGAGAGCAGCAGCCAGGGCCTGTTTCAGATCCCAATTCTAGGGACCTCTGTTCCTGTCCTTGGGACAGTGGCTTTAAGCTGCCTTTGTACGGTCTGTATTGTGGAGCTGCTAGGGGCCCACGGTGTACATTAGAGCAGCCCTAAGACTGCACTAAGTTACCCTCGGCTTCCTATGGCTCCCTTTTAGCTCAGTGCACTCCAGCCATACCCCCTTTCCTGCCCACAGCCTTGCCATGACCCCCTTGTCAGGGACGGATGGTAGGGCTAGCACAGAGTCCTTAGACCTGTTCTGCCTGGTCTGGGGAGTACCTCTCCCAGGGGTCTGCTACAGCAGCATGGAAAAGCCTCAGAAGAGCTGAGAATTAGGCAGCAACAGCAGTAACTGCCCCAGCCTTAAGGCCGCAGTAGCAGTAGTGAGGTATCTGGCCCATGCTGTGGGGTGGGGACTGGAGGATTCACGTAACGCCCTGCGCCGAGCAGGAAGCAGGCTTTGGTCCAGAGACGCTCTTAGCAATGCAGGCCCGTGTGTGAGTTGTGGGGCTCTCAGCAGTCACTGAAGGATAAAGTCCCTTGGGAGGCCACTCTGTGTTGTTCTGCTCATTTCCCGCTTGCCAGCTGATCTCTTACCAAAGGTGAGGCACCGTCTTTGAAGGAACGAAAAGCAAATCAAATAGCAGGTGGCCTGGCTCACAGCTCTTCTAGGGTTGCCAACTTTCTAATCGCACAAAACCGAACACCTCTGCCCCACCCACAGTCCCGCCTCTTCTCTGAGGCCCTGCCCCTCGCTCACTCCATTCCCCCTCCCTCTGTCGCTTGCTCTCCCCCACCCACTTTAACCGGGCTGGGGGTTGGGGTATGTAGGGGGGTATGGGCTCCGGGTGGGGCCAGAAATGAGGGGTTCAGGGTGTGGAGAGGGCTCCAGGCTGGGGCAGGGGGTTGGGGTGGGCTCTGGCTGGAAGAACAGGCTCTGGGGTGGGGCTGAGGGGTTTGGGGTACAGGAGAGGGCTCTGGGCTGGGGCAGGAGGTTGGGGTATAGGAGAGGGTGAGGGATCTGGAGTGGGGCTGGGGATGATGGGTTTAGAATGTAGGAGCAGGCTATGGGCTGGGGCGGGGGATTGTCGGGTGCAGGCTCCAGGAGAGAGTTTGAGTGCTGGTGAGGACTCCAGGCTGGGGCAGGGGATTGGGAGGGGGTGCAGGTCCTGGCAGCACTTATTGCGGCTCCCAGGAAGTGGCCACTAGGTCTCTGCGGCCCCTGGACGGATGGGTGGTCAGGGAGGCTCCGTGCGCTGCCCTCGCGTCTGCAGGTGCTGCCCCTGCACTCCCATTGGTCATTGTTCCCAGTCAATGGGAACTGCAGAGCCGGCACTAGGGGCGAGGGCAGCGTGCGGACCAGAGACCCTTCCCGGCCGCCCGTGTGTCTAGGGGCTGCAGGGACCTGGTGGCTGCTTCCAGGAGCCACACGGAGCCAGGGCAGGCAGGCAGCCTGCCTTAGCCTGGGGCCCCTGCTGCGCTGCCAACTGGAACCGCTAGGGTCCTTTTTTGACTGGACGTTCCAGTCAAAAAGCGGACGCCTGACAACCCTAAGCTCTTCCGCTGTGTGCCGCTCTCTCCTTGAGCAAGTTTCTCTGCAAACCCTCCTCCCCACCACCAAAAGAGAAATACAGAGCCTCTGACAGTCAAGCTAAGAGATTCAAACCCAGGCCAGGTTAGGAGGGAGCCTTTCCCTCTCCGATTGAAAGCCCTTTGGAGGAGTGGTGGATCTGATTATCGCCCTGGTTCAGTGTGGGTAACCCTTACCTCAGAGCCTTGCTTACTCCCCAGCACCAAAAAGGAACCAGGGACCAATAACAAAGTAGTAGTCCTGTTCCCAGCCAAGCCTCTCTGGCCTCCAGCAGCTCCATGGGCAGGATTTTCCTTAGCCGAGGGCCTGCTGGTACTCACGTTGTCACCATCGCTGTCTTCTTCCTCCTTTGCCTCTGACAACTCCCAGCCCTCTCCCAGGCTCAAGCACCAACCCAGAGTTGGGGCCTTCATTTATATTCCCTAGCTGGGACTCATCAGACCCAGTCACTTGCTGCTGTCCAGCTGGGGTGGGTGAATCCAAGCAACTGCCTGTTGGGCTCCTCCTCAGAACAGGGCTGGCTACTCCTTAGCCCATCTGACCCTTAAAGGGGCAGACTGCCCTGTTACAGACCATCCTTTTGCCTGTGTTTGTACAGCACCTAGCCCAATGGGCTCCTACACGCTATCACAGCACAAGTAAGTTCTAATAACAACAGCTACAATGGCTGTTTGGCAGCCTCCGTGAAGTGAGTTTGGTTCATTTCCCAGCAGACATGTGTCTCTAACACAAAACCTCCAGTACCGTTATTGGCCCCCCCCCCCGTCTGCAGTCTCAGTAGATGTGCAGGGCTGGACTCATCCCAGGCTGTCCCTCCTTATCAGGGTCGAGACACAGTGGTGGGGCAACGTGTGGGGAAGTGCACACTCTACCAACTGCTTTACAGCTGTGACCTTTTTGAGAACTAGAAGTAAAGGCCAATAGAAGGAGGGACCCAAAAAGGGCTTATTCATTAGGCTTGGCCATGATTTCACTGGGCACTGGAGAGTAAGTTAGCTGATTCCTGGACTGTCTGAGAGCAGCATGAGTGTGCCACAGCCTGGTCTCATTGTGTATGGCAGGCTCTGAGTCAAGAGCCGGCACCAGACGCTGCTCATGGTGTAGATCCAGCTCTGTATTAATCTGGAATTAAAAGGGGCAGTGACAGCTCTCTGGAGCTTGCATGGCTGCTGGACTTCTAGCCCCTTGGGGAGGATGAGAGGTTATTGTCAATGGGACACTGTTGGCCACATTCAAGGTCTGCTTAATAAGGAGGCAAATTAACTATCCCCCAGCGATTATACATTTTGGATTGCTGGGCGACTTAAAATGGGAGCTGCAGCCCTCTGTGTTTCCTGTGATCTTTTTGCATGTGCGTGTTTATAGCTGGGGGTGTCGCTTTGCTGCACAGAGTGGCCAGTCAGAACTTGAGGCAACGGAAGGAATAGGACTCAGGTCCTGCTGCTCCAAAAGCACAAACCACTAGGACTTGAGTTAGGAGAATCTCCATTAGCTGCTAGCAGTATAGAGCCTATGACACACAGTCAAACAGTTCTGATTCCATCCCGCAGGTGGCAGTCAGACAATCTTTCTCTGTGTCTCTCTCACACACACAGCACGTCACACTTCATCACAGGGAGTTTCCACAAGAGGGGAAGTACGTGCCTCGCACTGATTTTTAGAGTCTCTTTCAATGGAAAACGAGGACATCCCCATTTACCAGCTGTTCAGCACCTCCTAGGAATATTCAGCCTGTAGATTAGCCCAGCTCCTTCTGACTACAGTTACCTCGAGCTCACGCAAACACAGGTTTCTCTCACTTTCATTCCTGTGCATTGCTAACTCCAGAGATATTGCACCATCCGGCTGTTTATGCTCGAGGTGAATCCCTTAAAGTGTCTGGCCCAACTGGTTTTACTTGCAACCCTTCTTTTGGGGCCCACAGTTGTGCCTTCGCAGTGCGTGTTTTTCTGTTCTCTGGGAAGTGGGTGCATTTGGTTTCACATCCCCAATGGCCAAGGTTAATGCCAGGCCTGCAGCAGAAATGAAAAGTCACATGCCGCAGCTTAATCTGTCTCCGTAGAAAAGGAGGACAAAGGTCCCGCCACAGCTTTTACTATGCAGCAAAGCTTACCAGTGGCAACCTTCACACAAAGGAACTCGGCAAGGAGCAGGCTGGTGCGTCTGGAGAGGCGGCGAGAGCCCACGGGCCGAGGAGGAGGGGCCCCGCTGCTGGCAGCAGCCCTCAAGGTGCCCAGCGAGAGGCAGGTTGGGAATTCTGCCCACCCGGAGCTCTATTTCCCCACCCAGCACAGGAGCAATTGGAAAGGTAAGTGGCAGCCGTTCCAATGAAAAAGTCACTCCCTGCTTTCAGCTTGAATGGACTGAGCTAACTTTTTTTTTTTTTTTTGGCTGCTGTTATCACTGATTTGTGTGTAGGAAGGAGGAAGTCAAACGGGTCCCGGATCTGCAGATCCAGCTGGACAGTGGGTTGTAATGTAGCTATGTTATCACACAAGCCACCAAAATCTGAAGAGGAGAGGAAAACACAGCCTCCGCCTGGGGAGTTATTGAATATTAAGAACCAGGGAGCAGGTAGTTTGGGGAGGAGGGGCTGGGAGTGGGGGGAAATTGCTCTAGCGTCCCTCGGTAAATAAATGGCAGACAGTGAAGTCTTTAAAAATCAGTGATCAGCTGAAGGGTGTGTTGCCTGCAGCCCAGAATCTGCTGCTGCCTGTAACTTATTTCACAACAAGTGCCTTCCCCCCGAGCGCAGAAACTAAATTCTGGTTCCTCTTTGCGACATTTCTAAGGCAGACTCAGGAAGCTCTGCAGCCGGAGAGCTCAGGAGGGGAGACCGGAGGCAGAGTCTCAACGGGACAGGGAACCACTTCTCCACACCCCAGCAGCACAGAGAGCCTCGACCATGCCTTAAAGGGAGACGGATGCCTCTGGGGGAGCCACAGGAGCAGATCTTGGGGATGGTGAAGGCTGCAGGAGACATCATGGCTAGGATGCAGAAGGAAGAGAGTCTGGAGGTACCAAAGGGCACTAAGCCACATGTGCTGCCAGAGGCCTCCCAGTCTCAATCAGAGGCACTTATTGACAGCCGGGCGCCCAACCCCAAAGTCCAGGCATTATCATCATCCTCAGCAGCAGCAGCAGTGGGGAACGTGAATCTCCGCCAGTCACAGAAGAGGGACCTGATCAGGAGCATGGGCAGGGTTAGTAGAGGTTCAGGTAACTGGGATGTGAGCTCTGACACAGCCAGGCTCTCCATAGGCCGGGGCAGCGCGCGGCGGAGAGGTCTGAAGGAGGTTCTGCTGCAGAGCAGTGGAGGCGAGGGAGCTATGTGGCTTGCAACTGCTCAGAAGATAGCCAGCAGCAGCAGCCCTGCTGTGGGGACGCAACAAGAGCTGGAGCAGAGGTTGGAACAGAGCCCTGAGGACTTGTCCTTAGCCCTAGACCCCCTCGAGCATGAGTGGATGCTGACTGTGGCCCAGGGGGACCCTGAGAGCATTGTGAGGTTGGTAGACATGGATCCCACCCTGCTGAACAGGAGAGATTTTGTAACAGGGTTCACTGCCCTCCACTGGCTGGCCAAGCATGGCTGCCATGAGGCCCTGATCGAGGTGATCACCTGTGCAGAGAAGAAGGGCTACCGTGCAGATGTCAACATTCCCACAGCCAGCGGTGGGCTGACACCCCTGCATCTGGCTGCCCTGCAGGGACACGAGATGGTCATCAAGGTGTTGGTGGGAGCCTACGGTGCCAACACAAGCCTGCGGGACCACAGCGGCCACAAAGCCTGGCAGTACCTGAGAACAGATGCCTCCAGGGAGCTGAAGGAGCTGTCAGGGGCTTTAGAGGAAGAACTGGCCCAGCTTGGTGTGTGGAACACCAACAACAACTGCATGTCGTCCAGAGAGGCTGGTGGCTCTGGTGCTGAACGGAGGACCCAGGTGTTCACCAGACTGCCATCCTTCAGGAGCATGTTCAGACAGGCACTTTCATTCTTCCAAGACCTTTAATTGTCCTTTGTGGCTAAGAATCAGTTTGATGTTGCCTGTGAACTAGTTTTAAAGAGCAGCTTTGCTGGGTCTGGGGAGCAGCGAAGGAGAGCAGGGGGCTGCAGTGGGGTGGCAAAGGGTTGGTACAGGAGACTTGCTGAGCCGGGACTAACCAATGGCAGCTGGTGCACTGAGATTACCCAAGAGCCATTGGCTAGGGCGTCTGCAAACCTGCACAGGCTTGGATCCTGCCCGTAGCTATTTGTGCACCATTCCCCTGGCAGGCCGCTCTTTAGCAATTGTGCACGCGTAGCTGGGGGCAGGATTTGCCCTGCAGTAACTATTCTGCTCGTCCAATGGAAGCCTCTTCCCGTAACATTTCTCCTGCTGCCAAACCTCTCCAGCATGAATGGAGACCCAGAAGTGCAGCCTGCCAATCCCAGCCCTCCTGCAAGTGCCCCGCACAGGCCCCTTTACTCAGGGTTTGCACAGTTGGCCAGGGCATGGTGCTATAAGCAGAGCAGCAGGATGTGCCCGGTGCCACTGCTTTGTTTACATTGTTTCCCCGCCTGCTCCAGCGCGATCCCTGAGAACAGCAGGATGGAAAGAGGTGCGGGTTTACCTTTAGTTCTTCTGCTGTTGCTGCTTACTGTGTCTCTCTGCCCAAAGGCACAGGTCATAGGATGGAGTGGCAGAGGAAGTGCAGTCTTGTGGTTAAAGCACAGGACTGAATGAAGAACTTGGCGTCTATTTCTGGCTATGCAAAAGGCTTTTCACGTGACTTTGGTCAGGGCACCACTCTGTGCCTCTGTTTCCTCTTTTCCAAATGAGGATAATGCCCCGTCCCTACTTCACAGTGAGGGTGTAAGATTAGCGTGATTGTTGCCTGCAGGGTGCTCGGAGGGCCTTGGACAGACAGCTAGCAGCGTGTGATTACACATTCCACGGTGACACACTGAGATGTCACAGAGGACTTGGATTTCAGGTGGGGAATAAGCAGCCACTGAAACTCCAAAAACAAAAATCGTCTTTTCATGACGTCTCTGCTAAGGAAGAACATGGAGGAAAAATACAGGAAACAGGTAATGCCACTAAACTACTTGTGCCTTCAAAATGCCCCGAGAAGTATCATGCACATTTATTTTCCTAGAAGCTATTTGCTGGGTCAAATCAAAGCTTAACTCCCCAATTTGACTCCAGTGGTGGAGCACAGAGAAAATGGTGGAGTGCGGAGGTACAGCTTGTTTAAGTAGCTGTGGCACTCCCAAAGGATGGACAGAACGTGGAGAAAGGAAGGGAGCTAGAAACACTCTTCTCTACACCGGGGTTTGAAGATTTTAAACTAATAAACGGAGCTCTGGGTGGGAGGGAAAGGGGGCCAGATTAGGCGGAAGTTAGTGTAGGTGGGTTCCATGCAGAGGAAAGGAACTTAGATCAGATTCCTAAAGGAAGGAGGAGCGGGTGACACATTGTTCTGAGAAATGGAAAGAGTACATAGATAAGAACAACAAACAAACAAAGGTACAGAGGGCACAAGGTGAAGTGACACTCCAGAGAGACAAAGAAGGGTGCGGTTCCTAATCCCCCTTTCTAATGTATCACTGCTCAGATTTGTAAGTATTAAAAAGGTAAATCCTATTCTACTCACCTGTCTGAAGTGTATGTTATTCATCAGAAAAATGGAACTTTGCCCAACTTGTTTTAAGTTTTGGGGCTGCCTTAGAATGTCCTAAAACTAACAGCTGCCCCAGCCTCGGTTTCACACAGAATCAGATCTTTTTTTAACTGTACCATTTATTTATAGTGTGGTTCTGCTTTGAGAAGTGACTGTAAAATGGCCTCCTGGAGTTCCAAGCTCATCTTCTCTAGACTCCATTTATAAGGGAGAACGATGTTTCCCTTCTAACTGCCAGCCCTAGAAATATAAGAGGGGATCTGAGACTCAAGTTAGTTTCTTTACTTGCTGTGCATCATCACCAGTAATAAAGATCCTGCAGGCCAAATTAGGCCCTCAGTGACACCTGGGCAATTGTAGAGACTTCAGTGAGATTGCACCAATGTAACTGACCAGGACTATGTAAACAATGATGTGAGATAGAATCCAGCTGACTCCTAGTTGTGTTGGGTCTGCAGGGTTCATAGAAATAATGACTTATTTTATCATCACCACCTTTGATTACTAAACCCAACTAGTCTAAGTTACTCTGCATTTCACTCGGCACACATAACGAGAACAGACTGGTCAGTTCCTACTCCACTTAGGCAAAGATTTCCAAAGTTGCCTAGGGGACTTGGACACCTGGTTTCCATTATAATTAGTGGGACTGGGGCATCCAAATTCCTTGAGCATCCTTGAAAACCTCAGCCCTGATTTCCTGGTTCTTGTGCATTAGCACATTTTTGCAAAGTCTGGGTTCCCAGGAGGCCGAGGAACATTTATTTAACTGAACTATAATGCAGAAGAACCTCAGTCCTGGACCAGAACCCCATTGCGTTAGGCTTGGTATAACCTGGCAGGCCCTGTCCCTAAGAGCTTTCAATCTAAGTGACAAGAGGAAAAAGCAAGCGGCCACTGAAATAATAATCATTTAAAATACGGAAATAGCCCCGTTGGCCAAGATTCTGTACAAGCTTGTTTTCACCAAACCCCAGTTTGGACCTAAATATGTCTGGACATTGTCCCTTTAAGGTAGGGTTTGAATCAAACGGAAGATTCAACGGGGAAATGTTTTAAAAACAATTATAAGGAGTTATTTTCCCAAGGAAAAGGCAGCTCCCTGCTGGAAGTTGCCACTGTCTGAATAAAATAGCACAATAACAGTAGTAGAATCATAGAACTGGAGGGGACCAGTCAGTCCAGTCCCCCGCACTGAGGGCAGGACTAAGTATTATCTAGACAATTATCTAATAATAGTTGTACAACAAAGCATCAGTTGAACCTATTGCCTGGACCAGCATTGCCACAAATACCTTCTGAAAGGATTGTCTAGTTCAGGGGTCTCAAACTCAAATGACCATGAGGGCCACATGAGGACTAGTACATTGGCCCGAGGGCCGCATTTACTGACATCTCCCCCCCGCCGCCCTCGGCGCCGCCCCCACTCCACCCCTTCCATGAGGCCCAGCCCCTGCCCTGCCTCTTCCCACCCCTTCCCTGCCCCCATTCCAACCCCTTCCCTGAAATCCCCACCCCAACTCCGCTCCCTCCCTGCTCCCAGGGGGTGCAGGAGGGGTGTGGCGGGGGCTCAGGGCAGGGAGTTGGGGTGTGGGGTGCAGGAGGGGTGAGGGGTGCGGCAGGGGATCAGGGTGCAGGGTGCGGCAGGGGGCTCAGGGCAGGGGGTTGGGGTGCAGGAGGGGTGCGGGGTGCAGCAGGGGGTCAGGGTGCAGGAGGGGTGCAGGGTGCAGCAGGGGGCTCAGGGCAGGGGGTTGGGGTGCAGGAGGAGTGTGGGGTGCAGCCTGGGGTCAGGGTGCAAGAGGGGTGCAGGGTGCAGCAGGGGGTTCAGCTGCAGGAGGGGTTTGGGAGGTGGGCTCCAGCCCAACACGCACTGGGGGCAGGGCAGGCTCCCTGCCTGCCCTGCCCCCGCGCCGCTCCTGGAAGCCGACGAAACCTGGGGAAGGAGGGGCGCAGGGGTGTGTGTGGCTGTTGCTTCAGACACTGCCCCCAGCAGCTCCCATTGGTCGCGGTTCCCCATTCGTGGCCAATGGGAGCTGCTGGAGGCGGTGTCTGGAGCAACAGCCACACACACCCCTGCGCCCCCTCCTTCCCCAGGTTCCGTCGGCTTCCCGGAGCGGCGCGGGGCAGGGCAGGGCAGGCAGGCAGCCTGCCCTGCCCCGCCCCCAGTGCGCATCGGGTCGGAGCCACTCTAGGTAAACACTGGGGGGGGGCGCGCGAGGAGCTCGCGGGCCGCATGTGGCCCCCGGGCCGCATGTTTGAGACCCCGGTCTACTTCTACTCTCAGGATTGTAAAGTGACTGGTTTCATCCCAGCCCTGACCCTCATGATGGGGAGAAACTTTGTCAGCAGCTTATCCTGGTAGGTATAATTGCTTTGATCACTCCTGCCCAGGTTAAGGAAAGGAAACAAACAAGAAAGGAGAGGGGTGGGATTGATGGGTCTAACAGGGTTGGTTTTCAGCCTTCCTCAATGCTGTATCTTCTAAACGCCTGCAGCCTCAAACAGCAGGTCTCTTCCTCAGTGGTTGTACTTGTGAAGAGAGAAGAAATTCAAGATTCACAAAAACTTTTGGATTAAAAAAAAAGACCAAAAAAAAGACACGAGGAAAACTTATGAGAGAGTCCGTGGATAAAGCTTTCAGACACAGGGCTCCTGGAGGACCTCTGAACATGAGAAAGCTCCTTTTAAAAAAATTGGAGTGAGACTACTTGCAGCACACGGTCTCGTTAGATTTGAAGCATTTGAATCATTTTTATTAATGCTTCGTGCTCATCTTCTGTTGCAGACTTATCCTCCCCTCAGTGATGCAGAAATTAGACTATCACACATCCCCAGGAAGGGCTGCTGGAAGATCAGATATTACTGATGTGTCCTAAGCCTGTTACAGAACACTAGCCCAACGGGTGTCACTAGACATTTTTTGGTGGCCTCAGAGTGCAGCCACCAACTCTTGCTGGTGGCCACCCTGACAATTTTTTGTAAAATACTTAATTAACTTTAGAAAAAACAAATAAATATGCACATAGACATGTCCAAATGATTGTAATTTTTTATGTAGGCATTTATTGCACTCAATAAAAATAATGTACAGTTTTGTCTCTATTCATTACTAGGCCTAAACAGAATAGAAACAAAATAATGCTCTTTGCATGTTCTTTTTTGTTGTTTCTTTTGCTTTTAAAAATTTTTTTATTAAATATTTGCTAGCTAGTATATCTGTTTCTGTGAAAAGCGATATTTGTTAACACTGCTTTGCCCCCCCCCCAGTCACTACCTAGGAGGCTGCGGCCACACAAAAAGCCCCAGCCGGCTGCATGCAACTGTGATAGCCACAATTGATCATAGAATATCAGGGTTAGAAGGGACCTCAGGAGATCATCTAATCCAACCCCCTGCTCAAAGCAGGACCAATCCCCAGACAGATTTTTGCCCCAGATTCCTAAATGGCCCCCTCAAGGATTGAACTCAAAACCGTGGGTTTAGCAGGCCAATGCTCAAACCACTGAGCTATCCCTCCCCTGGTTAATGCTGCACCAGCCTCACTTGCTTTTGGTAACTAGGATTTCCAAAATGCCTTTGGAGAGAGAGGTAGTTGTGTAAGGCCCAACAAGCTGCCGTAAGCAAGTATGTGACCTAGCTCAGCACATGCTGCACCTTCACTGCCTTACTATGAACACCAGTAAAAAGATCAGCTCCACCCTATTTATCTTCTTAAAAATTGACAGCGTCTCTGCTGGCCCCGCAGGCATGGTGATAAAGGCTTAAAGCTTCCCCAGGATGTGGTGTGCTGCCACCAGGGAACTGAGTTTCAACTAAACTCCCTTAGAAGGGAGAGCAATTGCAGCTCACTCCTCTGCTCCATTCAGCACCAAGCTAGCTTGGTCTCAGCCGCACCAGCGCACAGAAGTAAAACCACAGCTATTTCCAGGTACCAAGAATGTATATACCAGACCCCACATGGTGGAGAGCAGGGGATCAAGACAGGGCTCAGTTCCTACTGACAGTGGTACTCAGTGTGGATCTTGAGCAAATCATCTTGCTGTGTTCCAGTTCCCCCACTAGAAAGATCTTTGTAGAACTTCCCTCTTTGCATGCAAGGTGCCATGTAATTGCAACATCATCTAGTTAAGGGTCATTACTGCAGAGTGCAGGTATTACTGATGACTCAACCAATTATATTCCCAACTGCTATTCCTCCCCACCTCCACAGAGTAACCTCCTCCACCCTTCTTAAACTATCAGTTTTTTTTATTATGTTGCAACTAGAAGCATTAATCATTCAGTTGTGCTGATAACTGATCAGAAGTAGGAAGAGCAGATAGTCTTCAGTGTTTAAATGTCACTTATAACCCTAACTGGAAAGATTTTCACCTCCAGTCATCCCCAACATCTCACTGTTGACTTTTTATACCCCTTCAAAATCTCGTGTGGATTAAAGTGACTATCCAAATGCAAATTTCCAAAATTCAATCTGGCTATTTGAGAATAAAAAATTGACTGGGCAAGGTTTTCGTAATGCATCACTTTTGGATCTGCAACATAAAAACAATTTGTGCACCACCAGCTGAATGTGAAGAAGTGGCCAATGCATGTGGATCGCTCTATGCTTCATTTTCTCAATATACACTGCTTGCGATTTTGGAGAATATACAACATCCCAGTCACTGCAAAAAGACTTGGGGCCAGATTTTTAAAGATACTTAGGAATCTGAAGATGCAGACAGGTGCTTAAATACCTTTGAAAAATCTGGCCCTTGGTGTACAAAAGGGTTGTATCAGAATAAAGCAAACTGACTAGGCAGACTGTTAAATATTAGCAAGATGGCACAGATAAGATGAATACAGCTATTTATAAGCACCAAGACAATACAGGATGGAACCTCCTGGGAACTAGGGATTTTCCAGTTTGCTTTAGAAGGGTTTGATTATTTTACTTATTCATGTAGAGTCCTTTGCACATTCTACGTGAGTGTGATCCTGACTAGTTCAGCCACCTCTCTTTCTCGATAGAGACTGAGATTTTCTTTTAAGTAAAGGCAAGTTCATATTTCTAAATTGGATCCCAAGTTTGGTTGTTAATGTATAATTATGTCAAAAGGCTACAAAAGGGAGATACTAGTTTTGTCTGCTCATTTCAAACAGTACAGATAAGAGATTGGGATGGCAGGATCTTTTATCACACACTGATAAATGCTCACATTAATTTCAGTCTTTATTCTCCAGATTACCCACCCATCTCAAGCAATGCATGTAATAAATTCAGCCAGAATCATTTATTCAAAGGATCAATAATGCTCATATTTATTAACAAACCTGTAAACTGGCAATACAAATTAAGTCAATATATTTGAGCACAGAAATAAAGAACACTAATTGAACAGAGTCTTTATTTTTCAGTTATAATATTCCAAAGAGTCTATTAAAGTCATCTTTCAAGACTGCAGTTTGGTTTGGTTTTTGGGCGGGTGGGGGGAGAGAGGGGAGAACAACAAGATTCAATGCTTCAAAATGGGTCTGTGGTGGTTTTTGTAGCAATGCATATTTCAGGTCTTGGCGCAGGAGAGACATGTCATTAGAGTTCCCATCAGAGCAGCTCTTTACAAGCCCAGCTTGGTCCTTCTCCAATGTCTCCTTTTGGAGTTGTACCTAAAACAAAAGCAGCACACTTAATAAGCAAGGCACACTTGACAGTCTGTAACGCAGACCACAATCACATTCAGAATTAACCCACTAGTAAGGAGCTGGAATCTCTTGTAAAGGTTTAGTTGGGAAATTGTCAATTAATTATGTTAATAGCAAATTACTTCATATTCATTTTTAAAACTATTTTCCATATATACTTGCTTTCCTTTTTCACTAGGTCTATGAACGCATATTGGTGTAATAATATCAGCAGCTTTAAAAAAAGGTGAAAGTTCCCAGAAGCAAACTTACCTAGAAGACAGCAGCATTGGGCATGGACATACACTGTGCCACTTTTAGAAGACAAGACAGTCACAGATAGCCTAGAATTCATGAGTTCAATGCTGGCAGTAAAGAACTGGCTAGCTCTTAAAACATCACCACTAGTACCATTTTTACCAAAACAAAACAGAAGTGGAATTCGAGAACACAAGAGCAGTCCATTGCACCATGGAGAAAGCACTTTTCCAGGGAAATCCACTAAAGCACTCATTCAAAACCTGCATAACCGAAGACTATAAATGTCATACTTGTACATGTTAATGATCAGCGGTTTCACCAATGCATAGGTGAAATCAAAGGCAATATTAACAGAATTACTCTCAGCAGGAAAATGGCAGTACTCCCACAGAATGAAGCACTGTAATTGCAGCCTGCTTTATCAAATACTTTGGGCAGAAAACTGGTGCTTTTGGTGCATTAAGTGTTGGAATACAAAAATAATTAAAATTATGCATTTTAGTAACCCTAATGCTCAACATGCCTAGAACACAGCTAGGTAGGTACTATGCCCCTTTTACAAATGGGTAAACCGAGGCACAGAGCAAAGTGACTTTCCTAAGAACAGAGAGCAAATTAGTGACAGCAATAGAACCTAGCAATCCTGACTCCCAGCCTCCTGCTTTAACCACTAGCTACACTCACTCAGAGAAACAAGGGGAACCAGCAGCAGAAAAAATAAAAGTAAAATATAGAAATATACACATACAGTGGAACTGAAGGAGTTTTTCCTGCAAAGAGCTCTGTACTTCACCTGCAGCAGTTGAGGATATGAATAAACCTAAGGCACTTTAAGTGTTGAAGACCGCATAGAAGAAAAATACACTGTATCATAGAATCATAGAATATCAGGGTTGGAAGGGACCTCAGGAGGTCATCTAGTCCAACCCCCTGCTCAAAGCAGGACCAATCCCCAGACAGATTTTTGCCCCAGATCCCTACATGGAGCCCTCAAGGATTGAACTCACAACCCTGAGTTTAGCAGGCCAATGCTCAGACTGTTTTGTTTGAAGTGTTGTTGTAGATTACGTTTTATTTACAATTATGGTTTAGATTTTGTCATGGTTATTTTTAGTAAAAGTCAGGAAGAGGTCATGGGCAACGAATAGGGCCCTACCAAATTCACTGACATGAAAAACGTGCCACGGACCGTGAAATCTGTATAGTGTAGGGTAAAAGCACACAAAAGACCAGATTTCATGGGGGAGACTGGCGTTTCTCAAACTGGAGGGAGGGAAAGGGCCTGACCCAAAAGGGAGTTGCAGGGGAGTAGCAAGGTTATATTAGGGGGGGCCGCCCTTAATTCTGCTCTGTCTTCAGAGCTGGGTGGCCAGAGAGTGGCGGCTGGTGACCAGGCACCCAGGCCTGAAGGCAGCACCCGCCAGCAGCAGCGCAGAAGTAAGGGTGGCAATACCATGCCATGCCGCCCTTCTGCACTGCTGCCTTCAGAGATGGGCAGCCAGAGAGTGGCAGCTGCTGATTGATGGCCCAGCTCTGCAAGCAGCAGCGCAGAAGTAAGGATGGCAATATCATACCATGCCAACCTTACTTCTGCGCTGCTGCTGGCGCTGCTTTGCCTTCAGCCGCTGCTTTGCCTTCAGCCGCCGCCCTCCAGCTGTCCAGCTCTGAAGGCAGTGCCGTTACTAGCAACAGCGCAGAAGTAAGAGTAACAGTACCGCAACGCCCCCCCCCTTACAATAACCTTGTCACCCTCCCTCCCCCATAACTCCTTTTTGGATCAGGACCCCTACAATTACAACACGGTGAAATTTCAGATTTAAATAGCTGAAATCATGAAATTTATGATTTTTAAAATCCGGTGACCGTGAAATTGACCAAAATGGACTGTGAATTTGAACAAAAATTCACAGGAGCCCATGACCTGTGACTTTACTAAAAAAAAAAGTAAGGGGGGGGGGGTTGGGCTCAAACCTGGCTCCAGTGGGTGCAGCCACTGGGGTTGAGGGGGCACACAGCCCCAGGCAAAGCCACAGGGTGGGCGAGCGCACACACGTTCACACAGTCCCGGCTCCAGCTGAAGAAAGTCACAGATGTCTGGTAAAGTCATGGAATCTGTGACTGCCGTGACCTCCCTGTCTAAAATGTATACTTATTTTTAATGTAGCACAAGCAAGTACCGACATGCAATATATCTGTGAAAAACGGTGGACAAAAGCAAGTACAGTATTTCAGTCTACATATGCATTCTGGTAATGATTTGTGGTTACAAATTGTCCAAACTTTATGTATTAGCCCATCACCACCCACAGACCTTCAACGAAATTCTTTCGTAGCAAGGTTCCCCAGACACTGTATTTCAGGAACAGGGGATGGATGCCCTCAGGGTAATCACAGATGGGTTTTCCTCACAACACATCCATGAGTACAAGACTCTTCGATCCACCTGCCACTATTCATAATGTAGATGGAGCTAGTAT